CCTTCACGATCGGCGGACTGTTGGATCCCCACTTCAGCCACGGAAGATGCTCCGAACGAGAGAGAGTATGCTTGCAACCGTACATGGTGTCGATCCACCGGGCCCTAAGACTTACGGGCCAAAGCGATGCAGCTAAAACTGAGGTTGTCTCCGCCTCCATCGGCATTCAACTTGATGATCCTCTTGATGCCATTGTCCAGCGCTCGTGGACTGAGGACATCCTCGTCGTCGGCGAGACTGCCTCTATCCAGAGGGCCCTTTCTCGATCCTTCAAGCTCCCAAAGCTTCCCACCCGTCTTGACAAAACTGACAAAATGGCCGCCCTCGACCTCGCCCGTGAGATCAGCCTGGCTGTCGCCGGCCTGCTCGACCGACTTGTGAGCACGCTCAAACGGGGCGCTGTTATACAGCAGATCGGCACGGTCAGCCATGGGTAGCGGTATGGCACGGCTTCTGATGTCCGCGAGATCCGATCCAGGCTTGATAAAGTCCGCGGCTGGACCGTTGATGAGGCTTTGCAGCAGGCCAATCGATCCGCACGCATGGCCGATGGTCTGCTTGAACCAGACGACCGGCTCGTCGGGGCCGGAGCCGGCGTAGTCTTCCTTGTCCGCGTCTTCAGCCCGGCGACTCTGGTCCCAGGCTGGCGTGAGTGGGATGATGACCAGCAGAGCCAGCGCAGGGCGGGGAATATGAGCGAGGAGCTCGGGATCGTCGAGGGAGTAGACGTCGTGGAATTCGAGATCGGACGATAGACCCAACGTGGCTGCCAGCTGGTTCATCACATCAGGGTTGTTCTCTGTCATCTATAATTAGTTTTAGTGGGAGAAGAGGGCTTCGTTCCCGTACCAAGCATGACCCATCTTTTCTTCTCCACGGTAGACATCGAGAAGAGGAGATGTTTTGAAAAGTTACAAGTTCTTCAGGGAACGAAGGGGAAGTTACCCTAGATCTGGAAGCTGAGCTACAAACAGGCGTGATCAAGAAAGGGGGGGCGGGAAGGTTGACGTTTACAACCGCAGGTAAACGACGTGCGACGACAGACTGGTAGCCGATGGTCTCCCAACTGGCGGCGTGCGCGTGGGCAGTTGTATTTTCTTGGGCTGATGACGGGAAATGACTGAGACGACAAGTGTGATGAAGAAAGCCAATGGGTTGAATGCGCTTTGGCTGCGGTGGTTGTTATTGGTTAAGATGCTGACAACTGCTTGTCGTGTATGGGAAATATGAGCTGTTCAAGGCCGTAGTTCAGAAAGCTGGTTACAATATCCCAAAAGGATGTGAGAGGAGAAGCCCAAGATAAATAAATGCGATGTTGACTCTAGTTCGTTGACTGGGAATCGTTAATGCGGGGACTATGCCTCTCATCTGACCTATGCTCCTCGAAAGTGCGGGGGCCAATCGCAAATATCAGGCAGTAACCACCACGCGTATGCGGGGGTGGTGTTGGATCTCCAACCGCTTGCAAAGTCAGTCAACCTCATACACCGATTATATTCAAGATCGTACTCTAGGGACTGGGCATCTGAAAGACTTTGTGAATCGTATTTTTGTACGCGTTTCAGGATCTTACATCGTCCTCGTGTCTCTCTCCTAGGTGCTTACAGTCAGCTCAACAAGATGCGTGACAGACGACATTGTCTGGTTTTGCAAATCATGCGGTCTTGGGACAGAAATGTAAAATTCTTGTCATGAACTCCCACTATCTGTCTCTGTGCCTCTGCAGGCATATCGGTACTTGATTTCCGGGTTTCACGTCTGGGAAGTTGGCCTCGACAGGATGTACTCAATGGCACTCTGGTAAGAAGTCGTCCCAACCTGCACCATCTGGGTCACTCTTGTCAGAGCTTAAGAGATCATTGATGCGGGACTGGTCCATCCGAAGAGCCTCCTCAATCCTCACGACTTCACGAGCAACCCGCAATGCGATGGTTCCCTTCCACACACTTTCAATGTGAGTCGACGTCTCAAGCAGACGGATTGTCCAACCTCTGGTAGAAGGCACGCCGTATTGAGGGCCGTGTGATGCAACGACGACATGAGGCCCAACCCGGCCGTGAACCCGAAGGCGATTGGGCAGTGCTCCGATTCTATGTCGACGACTATGACCTCAGCTGCGGCTTGCAAGATCCCTCGCGAGTTGGGGCTAGGGTTGCAAAGTCATCCTAGTAAGTGCCGAGTATGGATTCGCTTGGCGGTTTTAGAGCTGTGACCGCCCTGATGATGGCATTGTGTGATGTACTGTCAGGAGCTGGTAAGAACATGCCTGCTCCAAGATGAGGTGTGAGACCAGACTCAGTGGTGAAGCTGATCAATATTCATTCATTGTCTGAGACCAGTTATGTACTGCAGACTAAGTATGTACCGTTCAAAGAAATACTCGTAGCAAACGACAGACAACCCCACTACGCATACGTTCCGGGCACCAGCGAGTTGACGTAGTTCTCCAGGTTCGTCCAGCCGCCAGCTCCGATGGCAAAGGCGTCCTTGGCGTCATTGGGGTTCAGCCCATTCGCCCTCTCCCACGCATCGGGAATACCATCGCCATCGGTATCCACAGGCGCCGTCCCACCGGCAACCTCACCGACACCGCCAATCTCGGCCTCGTCGGAGATGAGCTTTCCCGACTTGCCGTAGCTGCGCAGCTCGCTAACAAGGAGCTTGTCAACGGCGTCGCGGCGGAGTGACGCGCCGGCTCGGGCGGCGACGTGTTCGATAGACTCCTGTGGAGTGAGGAGCTTGGCGGGGCCGGGATAGGGGAAGGGTGTCGGGGCGAAGACGAGGGGAGAGTAGCAGTTTGTGGTCATGCAGAGCGGAGTGCCGTCGAGGACGCCATCGCGGTCAGCGTCGTAGTAGTTGTTGAGAACGTCTGTCCGAGTCAGTATTGATCTAAATAAGCAGGATAGAAAAACTCACAGGCTTGGAAGTTCTCGTTGCCGCGGGTGAAGGGGCTGCGGCCGGTGCTGGGGCCCGAGACAAAGTAGTTGTTGACAATGTTGACCCAGCTAGGCCCAGCGCTGTCGCCAGCAATGTATCCGGCGCCGACACCCCAGTTGTAAATGACGTTGTTCTGGAAGTCGTTACGGCCCTTGACCTTGGGATTGCGCGTGTTGTTGTCAACGTAGAGGTTGCGGAACAGGGACACGCCGCCCTCGGTCTCCATCAGGCCGCCGCAAGAATGGGTCTGCAGCCCCTGGGCGATGATGGTGTCTTGCACGGTAATATTAACAGCGCTACCGCTGACGGAAAAGTTCTCGTCACGGCCCCAGGAGACGGAGACGTGGTCGAAGATCATGTTCCGGCCTTCGGCGATGGTGACGGCGTCCTTGCCGCTGTCGCCGCCGCGGCCCATGCGGATGCGGATGTACCGGGTGATGGCATTGTGTGCGTTTGACCAGGAGAAGCCGTTGCCGTAGACGGTGATGCCCTGTGTTATAGTCAGTTACCCGGTCGAAAGCTCGAGGCTCAGGACTGTCTCACGTCACCTGGTGCGGTCTGGCCAGCAATGTAGACGTTGGCGGACACAACAATGCGCGCGTTGATGTCGATGACGCCACCCACATCGAAAACGACGATGCGGTTGGGCTGTGAAACGGCATCACGAAGGGATCCGGCACCCGAGTCACTAATGTATGGTTAGATTCATAGCACGAGACTAGGTACGCTAGGGCTCAGCTCACTTCAGGTTGGTCACCTTGTAGACGCTGCCAGTGCGACCGCCAGTAGCGAATCGGCCGAAACCCTCGGCTCCGGGGAAGGCGAGCTGCTGGGCATCAGCAGCAGAGGCCAGCAGGGCTGAGGCGCCGACGAGAGACTGGAGAGAGAACTTCATGGCGTGTTTCCTTGAAAGAATCCGGGGTGCATGAGCAATGAGCGGGAGAGGGCTTGGTATCGTGGGCCCGCGCAAGACTGGACCTCTTCTGCTATTTGTACCCCAGACTTAAGAACCCCATCCTTCTGCAAGGCCGGGCCAGCTGGAGCGCTGTCGTGCTCATGGTCCTTGCAGGGAAGCACCTTAAGTGACGCGAGCTTGCTTCGACTCTACATATCAGGGGCAATTGTGGGGTCGTGGCAACGGCAGTCGGGGCTACTTTGGGTCAACAGCGCGGCGCCAAAGTCAAGTGAAATGCTGGGGAAGTGTGCCTGTAATCACGGAGCTCGGAGCATTCGACAGATTCCAGAAACAACAGTGTGGCAGCCGAGGGGTCTTTCTTGTGTTCGCTGCTCGCTGCATCTCGGTACGATTGGTGGAATGACCGAGCCTCACAAGGCACGCTGCTGATCATTAGCTGAAGTGGTGGCTAGAGGACGCTGTATCATGGACACTTTGCGCGGCAGAGCAGGGCGTCTCGGGATCGAGGGGACGGCCTTCGGAGGGTTCCCAATTCGGGTCACTGCAAGGCTGTACTGATCTGGTTAGTGATCCTCGTCTTTGCTGGCGCTTTTTGGGCGCAACCCAGTAGCTGTTGCGGCTACATGGTTACTGCCCCTCTTGACAATAGGTACTGAACGTCGCACTTCGCTTCAATCAAGAAATGAAAACAACTTCTAGAATCTGACTTCTATTGCTGAGCTTGCGACGGATGATGTGACATATGATTTGCTCTTGGGTTATCTGAGCGACATGTGCTGGGACGGCCATCGATGTAGGTTTGAAGTTTGAATGCCGAAGAGTTCCGTGCAAGCAGCGGACGCAGCAAGTCAACAGCAGACTGCTACTGCATCGTTGCAACTGCATCGTTGCAAGTCTATTTTTTGCTGAGATGAAGCGCCATAGCAGTATCGTGTGCCAGTGAAGAAGCTCAGAAACAGTACCGTGGCAAACCCTCCAGTAGGGCCGGCCGACCAGACTCATGCCCTATTGTGGTGTGGTACTTGAGAAGGCCAATCGTACAAGTCGCGTGTTGTCCAGATCGCCGACCGTTTGCTGGAGTCTTGCCAGTGTTAGCTAACTAATTGGCAGGAAACTTTGATGAATAAAAAGTTGAAACGTGGGTTGGGTCCGCTGCTGTTTGTGGAGCCAAAGTAAGCATGTGGTGCAGATGGCCTGGTGCAGCACGATTGGATGAACATCCACAGCATCCTGTTGATAACGGGCTGCTTCTCGTACCGTGGGCACCTTTGCCTGTCTAATCGAACCTCAGATGAACCCACGGAACTGACATATGAGGCCAGTTCTCTGTACTGCAGCGAGTTCCGTGCTGGCGATAATCGTGCAATCGCAAAGCGGCTTTCCTTGGCCGCTCCTCTCCTGAGCATCAGAGCTCGATCGTGGGCCGAGCTTGTCCAGGCGTCGGTCAAACATCTGACATGCATGACGAGCCGAAGCTAGAAGCTGAGGAGAAGTTCTCTCGAGATGCGAGGCAGCAGATGTTGTATAGGTCAGTCGCTTTTGCACCCCCCAAAAGATGGCGCGGGGTGTCATCATTTATCCCGAACGGGCTACTCAGGTATCGGCATTTCAACGGATGCCCAGGATGGGTGTCCTTCCCTTCCAGCAACAGGTGCCAGTGCAGAGCAGCACCTACCTGGTAGAGGCCTCTGAGGTGCGTGCCATCAGGTAACAAGAAGCTAAGATTCCCGACGGGCAGGGAAGAAAAGGCACAAGTGGCCCGCAACGGACCGAGCCGGATGGGTAGAGAGGGCAGAATGAGCGGGCAACCGGCTGCAGCTGGATCCAGTTCTCCGATGTTCCGGCCGTGAAATCGAGGAAAGGAAATCAGATCCCGAGGAGACTGCGATGTCGGGGGTCAGAGCACGTGTGGCATTTGCGGGAGAGGCCCATGCCCATGAGTCTGTGGGCATGGATTCGCCAATGTTGACAAATCAATGGTCAGGCTGCTTTGGCCTTGTTCGGTAGGGGGCGGGGGCAGATGACAGGAATTGCGTTGGTTGGCTTGGTATCAGATTCGAGTATCGAAGATGAATATCGAAGATCGGAGACTGAGGAAAACGGTTGACCGTAACAAAGCTACATGTATGTCCTGGTGAACCCTTTGGCTGTGTGATGGGAATGAAGGAGACACAAACATTGACACACCACTTGGTCAGTGGAGGGAGGCCCGAACGCTGGGTTACGTAATCCAGCGCAGAGCAGGTGGATCACATGACCGTTTCGCGTGGTGCACCGGCAGGCGGAAGGCGCAGGCTCAGGGTCGATGCCGCCATCGGGTCTCCGCGGTGGGGTTGAGTCAGCCCCTGATCCGGCGATGCCATTGGTCTGATTGGGGTGGTCTTTCCTCCCCAGGCACCCCTCCCCCCCAAGCAATACCCAGGCTGGGCAAGCACGACACTAAAACACCGCAGGCAGCCAGTGTAGTGTCGAGTGCTACTGCCGCAGGCGTCAGTGTTTCGCCGGTCTGGGCTCGACTCAACGGCAGGTCCATTCCATCTTTCTCTCTGGCTTACCTGAGTCTTATTAGTCCATTTGCTCTTTCGGCTGGGGACTTTTCAACGCTTCGCCTGGACTCTTCTTGCTTTCTTCTTGTTACTCATCTTCTTCAGCAACTCGTCTCAGACACATACATCATCATCAGCCGCCCCCCCCCGTCAATCCCGCCGTTCATCCTTATTCCAGCGATTGCGCTCGATTCTCGATTGGCCTCCCACTCTTGGTACGTCCAGCTTTTACCCCTCCATTGTCGCATTTTCCTGCCCGTGTCGCACATGACGTCGCCAAGATGGCCCCCGTGAACCCGGCCGATTCAATCAAGTTCCCTCAAGACAACCGCCCGCTGACTCTTCCGCCGCGACCGGCGATTTTCTCTCCCAGGACTTTTTTCAACAACTTCACACACGCTCCCCTTGCGGGGGCTTCTATTCTCGTCTGTTGACCAGTTCTCAACCCGCCTCTCTTCTGATTGTCGTCGAGACCGACAACCGCCTCGTACGCCGACAGTATCCTCGTCGGCCATCTCCGCGCATACCCCTCGTCAAAGGCTGCCAACCCCTCCCTCCCAATTCCGCCTTCGTCGCCATGGCCACCTCCCCCGACAGCCTCCTGGCCATGACGCCACCAGGATACACCTTTCCAGACTCTCGTTTGCGACGCGAACTCGACAATCCCAAACGCGACCCTCTCATTCTCGTTGCCTGCGGCTCATTCAGCCCCGTGCACTATGTGCACTTGCGTGAGTCCTCTCCCAACTCGTTCCGGCACGCCTGGTCGGGTGTAACCTTCTGCCTCGTTCTTGTTCTTGCCGCGGTTGTCCGTCGGCACGAGCTGGGCCGTAGCGTCCCACATTGACCTGCATGTCATGTCGTGCAGCATGCCGCCATCCCCTTTCCTGCAGATCCAGTTGCTGATTGGTTGTAGAAATGTTCGCCATGGCGGCCGACTACGCCCGCACCGAGACGAACTACGAGGTCATCGGTGCCTATCTCAGCCCTGTATCCGATGCGTACAAGAAGAAGGGCCTTGCGAGGGCACACGATCGGTATGCGCTTCCTCTGTGCAGACTCCACGGCATGACGCTAACCCAGTCCTAGTGTCGAGATGTGCCAGCTGGCCGTCAAGGCCGCCCGACAACCTCTCATGGTCGATTCCTGGGAGGCACAACAGGCCTCGTACGTACCCACGGCTATCGTCCTCGACCACTTTAATTACGAGATCAATGAGCTACGCGGTGGTTGCGGAGGGAAGAAGGTTCGCATTGCCCTTCTCGCTGGGGCTGATCTTGTCGAGACGATGGGTCAGCCCAACATTTGGTCGGCCCGCGATCTGCAGCACATTCTCGGCGACTTTGGCGCCTTTGTCGTCGAGCGCGCTAGCAGCAACTTCGATCAGGCCCTTTCAAACCTCCAGGAGTACAAGGACAACATCCATTACATCCCTGCCATCATTTCAAACCCCATGTCTAGCACCATGTTGCGCCTCTTGCTCAAGGGAAACATGAGCATTGAATACGTAGGTCCTCGAGCCCGATCCTGTCGTCCGCCCTTTCGTCCGGCCCTAGAGGCACTAGATACCTTACTTGGACGATCCTCAGCTGACATGCACACAGCATGTGCCCCGCGAGGTCATGGACTACATCGAAGCCAACGGCCTGTACAAGGACGAATTCGTGTCGGCTGGCAAGGGAAAGGAAGTCACCGGCACATCATGAGAGGACTGGAGTGCGCAGGTCGATTCCAATCCACGAGTAGCCCACAAGAGGCTGGCTTTGTTCATCCTTCAATCCGAATGCAACCCAGCGAGACGAGCACGAAGCGAAAACAGCAAAGAAATTCCGGCGCATTTTGGGTAGACGGACTTTTTGTTTTAATCGTCATTTTTCTTATGTCAAGGCGGCGAGTTTTTGCATTTCACAGCTACAAGAGACGGACCGGCAGGACGCCGCCGTCGTCACAGAGAAGGAGAGAAAAGAGATACCTCAGGATAAATGACGGTAAAACGTCATGTTGGAATATTATTATTTTGTCGGGGAATTGTTGATCATCACGAAATGCTATGGTATCAGGTACAGACAGGTATTTGGCCCCGCTATCTCTTGATGATAGCTTCGCCTGTGGGTTTCCTTTCGCCTTGCCCTTCATCCTGGGGCTTCTCGTCGGCTTTTGTTCCTCCTCCTGGCTCCTTCACCTCGACCTCAGGCTTAACAGAATTCGCCGCTTTTTTGGGCCCGAGGTCCTCAGGTCCCCTGTCGTCATCGAAAATGATATCCCACCAAGGCCTCTCTCCCTGCTTTCGACACAGGGTATGCCACTCGGCCTCATCGAGCCCCTGGCTCAACGTCTTACGGTCGAAGATGCGAGGGCGCCTCCTCTCGGCGTCGGAGGCAGGAGGCCAGTACACGACGTCCCGTGCCCATGAGCTTGTTGCCTTGATCACTGCCAGAGGGGCGAGCTTTATGGGGCGGACTTCGCGCGCGGCCACAATGTCACGCAGGAAAGGGTGGAACCAGTTCTTATCCCACCACATCTTCAACCGCCAACCCTTCATCCCGTCGCGATGCGCGTTGTGGTGGACGCCGACGGGCATGCGGCCGGTATAATAGTCGGTATAGAGGGGTACGGCGTCCCAGTGTGCAGCCTCGTCCCTGTGCTGCTCCTCCAACTCGACGCCGGCGTGCACGAGGGGCGGCGCAAGGCTGTCAACGTCAGACGGCAGGCCCGTAATGCGCGCTGGCGAAAGGCCACGCTCCTCGCTCGAGACGTTGATGCGCGCCGCGTCGTTGACGGCCATGTACTCGCCGTCATCCTCCTTCGAAGACGGTCGGCACGAAGAGTTCCTGCAAATAGTCGAGACCGAAGGCATACTCCCACGTCTCAGCGGCCGCCACCAAACGGGCCGCCACATCAGGCGGGGTACGCCGTCTCGTTGAAAGGGCTCCCCCCGCGAAGGGCGAGAGCCTGACGCTCGCGCTGCATCGTGCGCCACACCTCCTGCTGGCCGAGAATCTCGCCGAGAAATGCCCTGGTCGCTGAAGAGGTTCTTGCCGGCGTCCTGCCCCTCACGCACCTTGGCGTAGGCCCTCCGGAACGTGCGCAGCACGTCGTCGGCACGGCCGAGCACGGCGCCGCTGTTGATGTATCGTGGCCGTGTGCGGTGCAGGGCGTGCCCGTCACGGTCGGGGTCGCCCTTGTCCGTCTCCGGTCCGTAGAGGTCGGCCCGGGCCGTGCTCTCGGGCAGCACGTCGCAGTGCGTCTCGTGGCCGTCGCGGGGCCGTGGCCAGCATTTTTTCTGGGTGCTCACGATGACGCGCTGGGTCGGGGCGGCGATGGCGTCGGGGGCGTCGGGTGACCAGCCGGCGAGGATGCGGGCGTCGGCGGCGGCGTTCTGGGCGAGGAAGCGCTCGATGAGGACGCGCGGCGGCAGCTGAAACCAGACATCGTAGGCGTCGACGATGAGGACGAGATCGTCGGGCCGCAGCCGCTCGGCGGGCGGAGCCTCCTCGTCCGAGGCGAGGGCCTCGAGGGCGTCGAGCGTGCCGTCGATCTTGCCGAGGTGCGAGCCGCCGAACCAGCCGCCCTGTTTGTGGAAGTCGCGGCCCCAGTTGATGATGAGCGGTGCCGGGTAGCCGTTGGCGACTGTTGATAGAAGCATCTTGCAGAGGTTGGCGCCCGGCTCGTCGGCCGGCACGATGATGCGCAGCCGGCGGTTGTGCGGGTCGGTGTCATCGGCGGCCGGGGGTGTTGGCGCCACGGGTCGGGTCTGCTTGATGTGAGTGCATGTCTTGTACTGGCATGTTCTATCGTGAGGGCGAGATGGCTGGGATACGCCAGGGTGACTTACGCCGACGACGGCGAGGAGCGTGAGGATGACGAGGCTGCCCACCGTGGCGAGGACCGTCTTGAGCGACCACCGACCGAGTCCGCACGGCAGGCAGCGTCCGAGACTTCGTGATAAAGGAACTTGTCGGCTGGTATAGTCTGATTCATCGGATCCCTCCCAGTCTATTTTGTGATACCTAGGACCCTTCTTTGCAGTAAAAGCACCAGCCAACAAGCCGCCGGCGTCACGGAGACTGCTTCTCATGATGAATAGGAAATCTCGTGCAACGACAGCAAGAATGAAACAAAGTAAGCGGTTGTCAGCCGTAAAGTTTCCCGAGGGCCGCGCCGCAGATGGCGAAGAACAGACTGCCGACGTCTCGGCAAAAGACGATGAAAGGACAGTATAGTAGGGCTGGGGAAACGGAGGGGGGTGCGCCTATGCCTTTGAGGCCTCCATGGATGAACACGCCGCGGACGTATATACCTTGCGGTTGTTGTTTGTTGCCTCCTCTAACTGATCGCACAGGCTCGAGACAGGAGGGTCTCTGACGCCGGAACTGAACTCACAGGCCACTACCAGTCTGAAGCAAAAGTCAAGAAAGGAGATAGATGTTAGAAAAGGAACGGGGGTGGGGAGGAAGGGCAGGAGACACGCAAGCCACGCGAGAACAGCGGCAGCACAGAAGCAGGATGTGTAAGATGGATGACTGTCGAGGAGAGGGCAGCTTTTCCAGATCTGCCGTCCAGCGAACGGAACGTCTCCATACCAAGGCGGCGGCAGCAGAAGCAGTAGCAGCAACGGCGGCGAGTGGGCTCTCTTCGTCGAATCGCCGCTTCACTTTACTCAGGACGAGTGATCGCCAGCAGGCCTCGGCAGCTTCGGCGGGGGGGTCCGGGGGGTGGTGGTGACCTTCTACCGCCTGCGTGTCAGAGCACCACCACAGAGACATGGAGAGTACAGTTGCTGGGCGCAGTGCCAGGCGCCGTGCCAGCCGCTTCCATCGTCAGCCCAGCAAAGCAGCCGGTCAGGGGTTGAACTTGGCAGGACGGGGGGAAGAGAAATGCGAATGCGGCCTCCTCTTGATGGGACGTGGCATCAGCGTTGATAGGCGTCGACGATGCAGGGGAGGCTTGGGTTTCTTGGTGGGCGGAAAAGAAGACCCCCTGCTTCTTCTCGGGTCGCTACTCAAGCACCTGTTGGTCGTGCTCGAAGCAGGCTCGGCGCGAAGCTCATTTCTCATCTCGCCATGGAACACTGGGATCCGCTGCTGATGTCGCGGCTATGGCTGCATGACGTTTTCTATCCGGGCGGCAGTTCAACTCGGGGATTAGGATCGCGGCTGACGACTCGTGAAGAGAGAGAGTGTTCTTGCGATCTCGAACTACTTTGACACAAAGATCAATAGGTCACTGGCAGGCTACGTTCTCCTTCATATGAAACCCTTCATGAACCCCTCCGGATGGCGTTGCCGTGGGTTGGGGTTGCCAAGCTGCCGGAACCTGGTAAAATAGAGGAGACATTTGCAGGCTCGTTCGGCCGCTGGAGCCATGGTCTCCAGTGTTTGCTCGCGGTGGAGAAAGAGGCATCGAAAAAGGAGACGAGGCAAGCGAGGGCAGAGAAGAGAGCAGCGGTTGCAGGCTTGCAGCGATCAACAGTCCAAGGTTTGATTTGGTTCCTGGATCTGGATATGGGTTCTGTCCCCCATTTTGTCGCCCGTTCCAACGGTCGTAAGCTGGAAACCCATGAAGCCATGGACCGGGACGTGTCTACTGCCTGAATCGGTCGATGCATGTCATCGTGGTAGCCATGGCAGAAATGCTGAAACGATTGATGGCGAGTCAATAAAAGGATCGGATGACGTCGCCGGTTCTTGGTTCTCGCGCGCCCAGCCTTGGATGCAGTAAGAATCGCTGACCCCCTCACCCCATTCCTACCATCGTCAAGCGAGGCATCGTGGCATTGAACCAGCCGTCAGAGACCAGGTCTGCACGTGGGGTCAAAGCCCAGCGGCTGCTTTGTTGCAGACTTCGGGCCAAGGAATCCCCTTGTCCTGGTTGTTCAACAGACTTCCGGCACGTCCTTTTGCACCCCCAGGGCGTCAGGAGACTGGCGTGCTCCATGGAAGTGCTAAACCCGTTGTAATCTCCATGTAAAATAGCGGTGCTCCGCACACAAGGACCCTGATCTAGCAGCATGGGTGCTTTGCTCATCGTCTCCATCCAATTCCTCTCACAAGGTTTCTTCGTGATGCTGTAAGGGACCAAGGTGCACTGCAAACGGGGGTCCGTGTTGTCATTGAGATTTGCAGGCGCCTGATCGAAAATGTCACAACGATTTCTTCTATCGTCGTCGAGCCTTCATCTCTAGTCTGTCTACCTTCGCGTGGCCCATCTCGAACCCCTATGCATTTCCCACGCCCCAGTGCCAGCCACGACCTGCCCGGCTGCCATTCAGGACATGCCATGTCTCTTGGCGGGGGAAATGGTCTTCTCAAGCGAGTCGAGCAATAGTGCTGAGCGGATTTCATGTCCAATGTATTGGGTCGTAGCGCCGTCGATCGCCATGGTGCCCCCCTGCCCACCGCACGCAGGCTCGTAGGGTGCTCGATTCAGGGTCTGATGTCTGTATCTTGTTCTTCTTTTTCAGCCTGTGAAATCTCTCTTGCTGAGCGACAGGTGCGATAATGGAGCGAGCGCCCCCAGATGAACATCATGTCCATCCATGGCTGAACCGAACACCACAGCGCGAGCCACAGCCAGTTTTCAAGGACCGTGCTTCAAGCGGTCCGCTCACCCCCAGACGAGATGAGATGCCTAGAGCTTCTCCTTCTCCCTCCCAGCCATGGCGACCCAGAGCGACTCGCACGTCGCCACGACATTGCCCTCGGCGTCCCGGATCTCGCCGCGCAGCAGCATCTTGCGCCCGGTAATGGACGCAATGGTGCCGACGCCCAGCACGACGCTCGGCGTCGCGATCGGCCGCAGGTACCGCACGTTCATGGTCGCCGTCGCGGGCTTCATCGTGAAGATGGCGTCGCCGCGCCCGAGGTCCCGGTTGCGCTCGCCCAGCATGCCGAGCAGCTCGTCGAAGAGCAGCGCCGTCACGCCGCCGTGCAGCACGGCCGGGTAGCCTGCCATGCCGGGGCCGAGGGCGAAGAGGACCGAGACTTGCGGGATGGCGGGGCCGCGGGCGCTGCCGTCTGCCTGTTGTTGCTGCTGCTGCTGGTGCCGCTTTGGGGGGTGTTGCGTAAGAAGGCCAGACAGGGCGGGGGATGCGCTCGGCGTGGTCGAGCGTCTTGCCGAAGAAGCGGTCGTGGCGGTTAGGTTTGCCTTCTTCCAGGGGGTCGCGGCTCGGTGGCACGTAGACTGTCGTGTTGGGCGCTGTCAGGAGGGCGTTGCACCAAGGGATCTTGTGAAAGTCGACGCCATTCTGCGACAGCGTCGCACCCTGCGCGGGTCCTTTGAGGGATGCCATGATCAGGAGAAGCGCCGATGGATGATGTCCTAGCAATGTCGAGTCTGTCCCGGGCTAGATGAACGCACGGGGACTGCAGGCCCTTGGTGGAGGCAGCACGCTCAGTCGCTGAAAGTGTAGGTTGGGATTGAGAGCATCGCCTTTCCACGTGTCACGGGGACATGATGTTTGCAGCCGCTTGCTAGATGTGATGTTGGAGGTGCCGTGAGCAACAGTGCTGGTCGAGTGAGCTGAGCCTCGGCACATACATGTAACCCCGCGGCGGTAGTGGAGACGGCGCTAAATTCACCAGCTGGTGACTCTTGTCCATTCTATTTCAGGCCACGCCTTGCTTTTCGATTGTGTTGTTTAGGTCTGATGGCCTATACACGGGTTTGTTCCGTGATGCTCTGGTATCTGTGTTAGTGTCACAGACCTTGTCTTGCCACGCCAGCCATGTGTGAAGGCCTTCTGTGATCCAGAATGATAGGCTCTGTCAGATGGGTGGGTATGTCACCATTCTCATATTCTCCATGCCGGCGACTCGCCGTCATCCCTTTTCGGGTTTCTGAGAAGCCCTCTGCGATATAGGCAAGGAACATTGAATAAGACGATTTACTAAGGTACCTACATAAGGAACATTGAGCGAATGACTGTCACAGCAAACGGATGATGACGGACCAGGCGCAGGATTCAGATGAATCCATGACAGCTGCTCGGAACCCGCGGGGTCCGGCGATGCGCTACCATGATAACCTGTCAAGTAGCCATGCCCTGGAGTGCATTGGTGTGCTAGCTGCTCCACTGATATATGTTCCATAGGGCTGACCGTTTCGAGATGACCTGTCGGATCAGTCGTGCGATGGGCGTTTTTTTAATCCATTGGCGCGCGCGAAATTCGAGCACGTCAGGTATCCTTTCGCAGGCAATACTCTATTCCGATAAGTTCCATTGTATCTCGGTGATCGGCATACTCACATACGTTTTGAAGCCATAACCGCAGCAGTACCGGCGACAGTCATTCATCGACACGAGCGCTAACAGCGCGGCCAAGGCGGGCGATGAACCACCGCGCCACACACGCCTTACGGCGGCCGGGACTAAATGCTGGGTTGATCCCGAGGGCCGCCGGCCACAGGCCCATGCCTTTCGGTTGATACGAGTTTTCAGGACAAAAGTGACAGGATGCCCACTCTTTAAGCTAAATCCAGCACATGGGAGGCTGTGTCTTGGTGAGGCGTACAAAGCTGGTCGTAATGACCAGGAGCCAGAATTCCAACCTCACTTGACCAATCCGCCTCCCAGCCTTTTCCCTAGAACCTACGCGGCATGGGATGCTTAGACTATATTATCAGATTGAAGACAATTTACTGACGAAGCCCTCGATCATTTTCCTCACTCAATCATCTGAGCTTTCACCAAATGCTTCATCACGACGCCTGAGAATAGGCTTTCCTCACTCTCACTCAACCATTTGTGCCAACCAGTCATGAGTTCGGAGCAACAACCGCCCATCGTCGAGGCCGACCCGCGCGGTGACCTCACGCTCAACGTGGGCAACCCGAGCGATGATCCATCTTCGTCACGATGCTTCCTGGTTTGCTCCCGAACCCTCGCCAGGATATCACCCGTCTTCGACCGCATGCTCTACGGCGCCTTTGCCGAGTCCAGGGGCAAGCACACGGCTGAGGCAGCTTGGACTGTAGATCTCCCGGAAGACCCCCCCTTTGCATTCACCATTTTTGTCACGATATCCCACGGCTTTGTTCACAAAGTGCCCCATTCTCTATCTCTCGACGAGCAGTACGGCCTGACTGTCTTGACACACTACTACGATGTCACGCGCATCCTCGCCCCATGGGCCTCCAGATGGATCGCCTCCCTTCACGAACCCAATCCAGGCTCTCCTATCCTTCTCGCAAAGCTTCTATGGATCAGCTGGGAGCTCGGCCGCGGCCCCCTCTTTGAGTCCACCGCACGGCGAATCCTCACAGAAGCCCCCGGCTCTCTCCTCGATCCTGATTCCCCTTTACACACTCTTCAAATGCCTCCTGACATTTTCGGTAAGCTCGAACGCGCCATGTCGTTGTTGGATAGTGCGTAACCCGACGTAACACTCCCTCTCCTCCCGTAAAGACACCAGCTGACATGCCTTTCTCTTCGTCGCTTGACACAGAACGCATAACAGCCATCCGCAAGCAGACCATCCAGGCCATGCTCGACGTCTTCCACGACCTGGCCGAACATCTCGTCACGGTTAACGAGAAGCCGCGGCTGTGTCGCCACGCGTCGTACATGGGGCCCCACTGATGCGAGTCCATGATCCTCGGATCTCTGACGTTCTGTCTCACGCGCGCCGGGCTCTGGCCGCTGCCGGAGGCGGCGGAGGTGGACCACAGCATCTCCGCGCTCTATGAGATCATGGCCAATCTCGTCATCCACGACATCGGCCAGCCGACCAGGGGAGATGCGGATCACAGTAGCTGCAACCCGAGGACGGACATTATGAAGAGGATCAAGGAGACTTTGAGGGAGATGCCGAATCCGGTGCTGGACTCCCACGTGAAGGAGCTGGATAAAAAGATGGCTATGATAAGTCTTTGAGAAGTTCATTTGGCACTCCGAGAGGACTCTGTGTATCTGGCCTTCGTCAATGCCCCGCAGCCGCGCGGCGACATTTTGCAACAAAGGCTTTTTGCGTTTACTGAGTTTAAACTTTTCTATTGGGGCATGAACTTCAAGTGAGTCTCACCCAGATATCCGCATCAATACTGGAGGCGTTGTTCCGACGATATCGTGCGTGGTAGATAGGCATCGGAATAACAACAATTACCACTACATTGCCGCGAAAATTCAAGTACATAGAAAGCCCGCATTTGTCTTCAATCAAATTCACATTTCTCAACTCACGGCCTATTTCCTCCACCCCCGTTAATTCAAGGCGAGTGCCCAATCCGTCTGGACCTCATATGTCAAGCCTTCCTGTTTGAGAAGCCTAAGTAGTGGAAGATATGACCTCTGTTGATTAGGACGCCCATTCCCTGTAGATCAAATATGGGATCTCTTGGCTCGTGAGGGAATGCCGCGCCACGAGAACTCAGAGAACTCGACACAAGCCAGATGTGCAGACCATGGGATGTCCCAACTTCCCTCGAGATGTGTAGAAGCCAACCAGAGTGTTACTCAGACTCGAGACCTTCAGCCAGAGATATCCGGATGGCATGGGTGTCTGCCAATTAGGAGTGAACCTACACTCATTTGTATTCGCAACAGCCACTGCCAGTCACCCCCACTTCGAAGCTCAGGATGTGGAGGCGTGGAAAGTATAGGTCCTGCAGCAGCGTAGCCACATCAATCTATGTCTCCTCCACGAAGTCTGCCCCAAAGCCTGTCATCTGTCGCATATGACCCATGTCCTCTGTGTACCGCCAGGCCTGGCTTATGATGTGGTACGCCGTTATTCGCCAAGGCCGTAGTCTTCGAGGGAGATCCAATTAGACAACCGGTCTAGGTCGCTATGTGAAATCCGCCCGTCTTGCATAGAGCGGTAGGGAAGCCTCCAAAGGCATGCCACTTAGGCGGGCGGGGCCATGGCCATGTGGTACCCCCGTCTCCTGCCAGGCTTGAACCATACGAGGCCTCAGCCCAAACTTCACATGACGAACATTCATTATGTGACATGTTGTCAGGGCGTTGGGTAGAGCAGAGTGAAGAGGTCATCCATTAATGGTCCGCAGGCAATAGAGATAGGTAGGTGTCAGGAGACCCTGCGGGCCCGCCATGCAGGGGGTCGGTCAGGGGGTTAGGGCTACGAGAACTGTATATATATAGGCTGCGGAGGGCCCTCCAAGCTGCGGAGGGCCAGAATCCAGATGTATTACACCCCGATACCTACACTCTACCACCTGCGGACTACGTGCGGAAGACATCTTCACTCTGCTCTATCCAACGCTGTGACAGTAGGGGATCGGAATATATTCGTTTCCCGTAGCGCTTAGACCCTGGTCGACCCCCTGCTTGGCGGCTCCTGGCGGCTCTGCAGGGTCGACTGACAGGTAGCCTCAGGTACAGATCTACTTGCAAACGGCTGACTCCAGCCGTGAAAGTCACCATTTGGCAACGCCAGCCTCACGTCAGTTCTGGCACGCATACATTAGACAGATTGTACTTCGACGATCTATAACCATGCACTGCCGTACTCGAAGGCTTTGAGCGCACAGTGCCTCTCGTCCACGAAGAACGATGCAATGGCCACAAATTGCTGTACCTGCTTGATAGCCCTCACGTCGTCAGAGTCAGACACCTACAAAAGTCAAGAGGCAGCTACTGGCCGGGCTTTTCCAGCCATCGCCCGTTGGCCCCTGAGGCCATTCTTAGCTGCAATGTTATGCGGTTGATGACAGGACGTCCACGACCTGTCACGCCACAGCGCTTGCCGGACTTTCAACACCGTCGGCGCCGAAACAAGCCCCGGCCCCGACTGCAAGATGCACAGCAAATAGAACATTCGCGTCAAAAGGTTCGCCACCTGCCAGCTCAAAAAAACGCCTCTTCAACAAGGCCACAAAACAGGCTCGCAAGGCCATGGTGCAGGCCAAAAAGGTATCGCAATGATGAGGACGAGACTCGAACTCGCGCGGGTTGCCCCACCAGGAAATCTGTTAAGGAGACCTTAACCTGGCGCCATAACCAACTCGGCCACCTCACCGGTGATTGATGAGGGCCGGTTCGGGAGTAGGGACCAAGATGGGCAGGAGGGTGGAGGAAAAGGAGAAAAGCCCGAGTCTGGTTGTGGGCGGCGTGTGAGAATATCGCGCAGCTATGGGGCAAGTGGGCGGTGCGGAGAAGGACGCCATCCAGGCGTGGCGAGTTTTAAGGCTCCAACTCGGGCGTCAGGGTTGGCCCAGTACAACACTCTTGCAACGCACTGGACCATTGATTGGCAATGACATTCAAAATTAGGGGTATCAAGACCACGCGGCCGTTAATCGTACTAGGTATCTAATCATGTCTCGCGAGAAGAGGTCGTAAACTCGTAGCGTATGCCGCGGCAGCAGCGAGGTATCCAAGAAAGAAAAAACGGGACGACAAAAGGGTACAAGGTGAGGGAGCGTCAAAAAAGAAAACCGCACATCCATCGGGCGTCACGACCTGGTGGCATCAGCATGCCCACCACTGAGCACGGCCTTGACCCTTCTCGGATCCTCAACAAAGTCGAGCGCCTGCTCCCTCTTGGTCTTCTGCGCCCGGCCCGCCCAGTCGGAGCGGTCGAGATCGTCGAGGTCGCTGCCGACCGAGCTCAGCGAGCTCATGGAACTCGAGCTCGGGCTCCGGTTCATGACCATGTTGACCCGCTGTCCGGCGGCCTTCTTGTACTCGACCTGCTGCTTCTTCATGGAGACGAGGCGCTCGTCGGCGCAGTGCATCGTGACGACGCCGAGGCCGGGGAAATTATGCTCGAGAAAGTCGCGCAGCAGCGGCAGCACCGACTCGTCGGGCCGGTACGTGCCCGAGTCGTTGTCGATGATGAGCTGGTAGTATGCCGGGTCGTCGGGCGGGGGCTCGGTCGGTGGACCCCCGGGTATGTCTTTCGCGGGATGCGTGTTCTCCGCGGGCTCGGGGTCCGACGAAGCCGATGGTCGGTCGAGGCGACGGATGAAGAATTCGCCCGAGCAGGCAATGTAGGTCGCGACATCGCTGTGCATTGTGTGCTTGCTCAGCATGTCGATACTGAATTCGCTGCCTGTCTCGGTGAAGCGGAACATGCCGTCGAGGGTCAGCACATAGGTGAAGATGCGACCGCCCTCGTCAAAGTGAGCGAGGCGGAGGAACTGCTGCGAGGCTTCCTCGGAGCAGGGGGCAAAGGTGCCAGCCTCGGTCGTCGGACTAAAGTTGTAGACACGGCGGTGCTGTTTGTGGAGCGCCTTGTTGAGGATGCGGCCACGGAGGCCTTTGCCGGCGAACATGAGAGCGATCGAGGGGCGAAACTCAACGTAGCGGTGGTACAACTCAGAGGGGACGGGGCCTGAGAGATGCATCTCGTTGGACTGAAAGCTAGGGTTCGTTAGTGAGTGTCGAGATGGAAACCTGGTAGTATGATGAAGCTCACTCATATTTCTGCATCTTCTTGGGGTCGGGCTCCTCTTCCGAGTGCTCCTGTCTGAGGTCATCCTGGTTGTCCTTGTTGACTTTGGTCCCAGTGAGGCGTCCGATGGTAGGGCTGAAATGCTTAAAGTAGATAGAGGGCCCGATGGTGTACATCTGGGCGTGAGGCGGGTTCGACCGACCGATGACCTGCATGCTGACCCAGAGACTCGGCGTCATGTCGACGTGGGGATCGAAACGGCTGGTGATGGCTTTGCAAAAGTAGGCTCGCTTGCTGCCCATGCGCTTCTTGGCCTTGAACTCGCGCCCCGGCGGCGGGATGCCAGCCCAGTCTTCGCTGACGTGGTTGACTTTGATCGTCACGTTGCCGAGACGGTCGTCCGAGTCGGGATAGTCCTCGTCATAGATGCGGCACTTGAGGGTGAAGCCGGCAGCCGGGACGTTGGCAACGATCCACTGCTCGTCCCAGACGGGCTCGGTCGTGCGGCGCATGGTCTGGGTGCGGCGATAGAGGTCGGGGTCCTCACTGTGTCGTTTCGGCACAGGTGCCTTGAGGGTGGCATGGACAAAGGGGTCGGATGATTGAGTCTTCAGATCGGCAGCAGGCAGGTTGGAGGCGCGGTGGAAGATGAAGCGAACGGTAAAGCCCGGAGGCGCATCGGGCAGAGGCGTCGAGTCGAAGCCGCCGGGCGGGGCATCCTTCAAGTTTTCCTTCAACTTCTTCTTGTGCTCAGCCAGGGCGACTTTGAGGTCGCCAGAATGGTGATGTGGCTTTTGCTGGGGGGCCTTGTGACCAGCAGCAAGTGGATTGGCTTTGCTCTGGACGTGGTCTTCGAGGGCGCCGCTCGGGGTCGGCCCATGGGGCGTGCCATCTCCATGTGGTATGCGATGAACGTTTTCAGCACGGTTGTCTCTCGTTTCGGAATCGATGATTGATGATGGTGCCTGATTCTCGTAGTCTTGGTTCGTCACGTTGTCCGAGGAATGTGGTGTTGGTGTTTCCTCTTTATTCGTCGTCCCTTCCTCGACGACTGCGACGGGGTGGGGACCGTCAGGCCCGTTCGCTCGTGTCTCGCCGGCCATGTTCCTCCACTATTTTCTTCCGATCCGCTCGGCGTCGGGATCCTGCCTGCAGGCGCCAAATGACGAACGAGGTCTCCGCGGAACAGATGGACCGGGCCGTGGGCGGGGTTGTCGTAGAGGGAGCTCGGCGATGCGTGGTCGCACAAAGCGCGAACTCTAGCGTGAGGTGGGACGATGGGCTCTTGGCCTGGGGTGCTTGTGACTTAGGTAAGCAGGCTTAAGTCAGTCATCAGAGCAAGTGCCTCTGCGAACGCTCCGAGGAGAAGAGCAAGACGGTTCCATATGAATGCTTTGCCATAGGGAGAGAAAAAATAGCAAAAACACGTCGACTCTGCACCGCTTGCCAGCCACGCAGCCTCGACCATGTGCCCTGCGTCCTTGGAGGGGTGCCGCGCTGCCGAAGTGGAGTATAGGCGTCGCAATCCCCCCAAGCCGCTGGCCGAGAATCTGACGTCATTTGCATTGGTGTCTGGTGACAGCTTCCGCCATGGGCGTATCTTTGGGGAGTTTGGGCAGTGGATTCAGTGGGCGGTGTCAGAAGCTGTCCACTGGTCTCAGCGCCCCTCGCTGAAAGATCTTGCCCTGTGATGCCCTGTGCCTTCGCTTGAGGACCTCTCCACGGCAAACCTCATCTGCACCACGTCCACCTCGACCTCCCTCATCAGCCCTGCCACTGCCAGCCACTCTGCCACTCAGTCACATCGAGTCACGTTGGTGCGTCGCCCTGCCGCCCGAGCCGTTCATTGCTACCCTTGTCATTCGGGAATAATCACCACTAGCTTCTTAACCCTTAACCGCTGTACAATCTCTGTCGATCGGTACGCCTGCCGCCAAAGCTAACAACCTGCCTTGCACCCCAGCCGTCAACTGTCAGGTGCAGGAGATTACGTTCGAGTGGCTGTCTTTGGGATCCTTGGAACAAGCCTCGCTGCCGGCCTGGGCCCTCGTACTCACCCGTCCATCCTCACCCACCGTCACGGAGGTCCACACCTTCCCCACGATGCCACGCGTACTCAATACAGCAGGCGAGCACAGCTTTCCAGCCTGAGTTGCGTGAAGCTGACACATGCAGCACAGCATGGTATGTATGCACGCCTGAACACTGTCTTGCCTGCGTCCTCCAATACCCTGCCATGGCTGACACCCTATGAGCCTTGCTGATCCGTCTTGCCTAGCAATACTTGTCGATCTCGCAAGGTCAAATGTCAGTCGATCCCCAGGAGCCTCCGTCTGCGAGAGCCGAGCCGCTGATCGTTCGACCCAGGCGATGAACGACAGCCCATCTGTCAGCGATGCTCTATCGCCGGCCGCTACTGCGAGCGAACCGCACGCCCAACTCGTCAGCCTCTCCCCGAAAGGAGAGACCGTGGGCATGGAGACGCAGTCAGGGGTAGGCTTCCGAGTCGGAGAGCCCGTATTGCTTCTAGAATCTAATCACCGCCAGGCCCCAGCCCGAAATGGCCATCGCCGGACAATCCTCGCAAGGCGCTCGCGTCGCCAGACATCGCCCGTATTTTCCACCATTACATCATCGAGATAGCCCCGTGGTATGACCTCAGCGATCCGGCATCCAGCTTTGCTACGAGGCTCCCTCGGCTCGCGTTGGAGATGCCCCTGCCGTTCAGCGCCATCATCGCCCAGGCGGCCATGCAGATCTGCCAGACCACGGCGCCGAGCAAACGACCAGTTGCTGAATTCTACCACGGCCATTGCGTTCGGCTCCTCATCGAGCTACGTAACGACTGCGGCTCGGTCGAGTCCGAAACTGCCCTGGCCGCTGTGTGTCTCCTGCGGTCGTACGAGATTCTCGACGGTAAGCAGTGGAAGTTGCCTCTCAAGCTGGGCATGGTGGCTGAATAGGCAACAGAGGAGGTCGATCCAAATAGACACCTGCACGGGGCCTACTCGCTAGCCTCACGCCAAAAGCTGCTGCTGGATAACGGCTTCCGCACGCTGTCGAGTGCGGGGTTCTGGAACTATCTTCGCGAGGACATTACCTACAGCTTGTTCGAGGAGCAGCCCCTGAAGATGGATCTCGAGAACATTCCCGTGCCGACGCAGCATCTGGAGGATCATGACCATCTCAACGCCATATCTCTCGTCCTCGGCCGCATCCTCAACGCTCACTTCAACGATGGCTCTCCCGGCCGAGATCAGCCTGTGTCTGTCTCCGCCATGTTGCACATGCTGCGATCCTGGCAAAAGGCCCTGCCGCGTCATTTTGAGCCGCTGTGTATGGATAACAGTCGCCCGAGCGGTGCCCTGCCCTCGGTTTGGATGCTTGGGGACTGTCATGGTGGGTGCCTGCAACTTTGCCAAGAACCGGTCTAACATTGCGTAGCTGCTGCACGACAATACTTCCTGGTATCCATCATGGTGCTCTGCATGATCATGCCACTCGAAACGTTGACCGAGATCTTGCAACTGGTTGAGCTTGACCTTCCCTCCAGTCCGTCTCGAGAAGACATTTTGGAAACCTGCGCTCTCGAGGTATGCGGCTTGGCCTTCACGGCAAAGTCGAATCCTGTTCTGGTCAATGCCTTTGGGCCCATATCGTACTGTGAGTTTGCCTTTGCTCGCCAGGTTGCCATAAGGAAGTGCTGACACCACTGAAAGGTGCGAGACACATACGCGTAGAAGCGTCTCGGCAGGAACTCCTGCGGTGTCTGGCTCCTTGCAAGAAGACCGTCGGGTGGCCTGTTCAACGACTGATGGACGACTTGCAGAGTCGGTGGCGTGTGTCCCCGGCATGAAGGTTTCGGGAGAAACTTGCTTCTGGCTAAGTTTTCGTAATTGTAGGTCATAATTCTCTTGGCGAACTTGAGTTTGGTCCTTTCTGGATCATGAGTGGTGGCGTTGAGCCAACCCCGAGTTCGAGCTTGGTTGTCTGGGTGTCGCGTTTTATACGACAGGCGACGACGTCATAACTAGTTCACGGAGATCCATTGTCAAATATTCGAAATCCTCAGAAATTACAGCGTTGACGATTTCATTGGTTTCTGGGCTTTGCTTCATCGATTGACCATACTTCAACCCAGGGTTTCGAGCAGCAGGCTGGCTAATCGAGGATGTCGAAAAGTCATGGCTACCCTTGTGGGCCATCACCTTGATTGATCATCCCATCGGTAACACAGAGATAGAAAGAGAAGCTGAATTCTCGAACCAGGGAGCTGGCTGTGCGTAAATCCACCAAGAAGGTCGGGTAGTTATCGAAGACGTTGTGCCATATATTTTATCGACGGTTTGAGCCCAGATGGAGTATGACACTCGCATCCTTAAAGCCTGTGGTGAAGATGGTCTATTCAACTACAACCAGGGCAACCTCTAGCAGGATCCGCCATCTGCAACCGAATACACCTTGCCCAGGCCCTTCTGAGGGCCAACAAGGTCACTTTGACGCCGACTTTGCTCACCCCTCTCCGGTTGACTCCCGCCAATGGCTCGACGCAGATCTGGCTCGGTGCCCACAAACAACGATACTTCTGCCCAGAAAGGTGCCCGCGGCGACGTGACAGCAACTGCATCAAGACGCAACTTTTCGAGATGAGTCGAACTGTCCGTGGACTCTGCCAACCAGTTGTCAAGAAGGGTGTGAGATTGACGCCTCTGGGACGCCGTGGCGCCCAACTTAAACGAGGACGTCAAGGTCGTGCTGACCATGATACACTTTGCACCTTGATACCGCAACCAGATGAGGCTGCCGTTCGCTAGAATATGACTCCGATCTTCGAGGGACAAAATTGTGGACTCAACGCTGCGGTGGACTGGGGATGGCTGGACGATTTGGCGCCTGGTCATCTTGGCGAGGATTCGGGAACAGTAATGACTTCGATCAGGCGCTGCAAGAGAGCCGCCATTGGAGAATGTCGTCAAATGGTCGCATAGAGCATGAAGCAAAAGATGACACTCACGAGGCCTGACACTTGGTGTCTTGGCCAGAAGGCTAAGTCAGACTGTTCTGTGGCAACCCCTGCGGATACCTTTTACGAGGTGAGTTTAGGCATGCCAGGAAGGACATCAATGGCAAACCTTCACAGCCTGCAGACACAACTTTTTTTTGCCATCGTAATTTCGCACACTGTCCTGTCGGAGAAACAGGAAGGGCAGACATATATAAGAAGGTCGACGGCCGCCTTGACGAACTTCTTCCTCAGATCCATCCCCTGATTACTACCATCAAGACTTGAGTAATCTACTCCCCTCCCACGCAAAAGCAAACCACCACATCGGCTATCGATACCAAACCATCGTCATGAAGGTCAACACCCTCGCCATCATGGCCGCCTGCGCCCTCGCCCAGACCGTCGCCGGCGGCCCCATCCCCCCTCCCTCCAAGGTCGCCAGCGCCGCCAACTCCACCATCGCCGCCAACTCCACCAACACCACCAACACCAACACTACCAACACCAACACCACTGCCCCCACCCCCCTCGGCGAGGGCAAGGAGCTCCCCTTCCTCACGACCCTCAAGAGCAGCAAGAAGCTGCAGGACTCGATCCTGCCCAAGATCGGCAGCAACATCGACCTCGGCAAGGCCAACACAATGCAGGACCTGATCAGCCAGCTCTCGGACACCGAGGTCGCCCGCCTCACGTCCGTCTTCGACGAGCAGGACATGGCCCGCCTCACCACCAGCGGCTTCAACGAGGCCGACCTCGCCAGGCTCGCCAGCCTGCCCGCTCCCGTGCCCGCTCCGGCCTCGGCTCCCGCTCCGGCCCCTGTTCCCGCGCCCGCCACCTTTCTTTCGACCCCCGACTCCAAGCAGGAAAAGTTCGTCCAGGACAGCAGAGACTTCAGCCAAGCCGTCGCCGGGCTCTTCGACGAAGCCGCCACCGACCAGGAGCAGCAGCTCATCTTCGACAACGTCCTCAGCTTCCTCGGCCTCGAGGCCGACGACGTCTTCGACCCGGCCAAGGTGGAGGACGCCCTGCTGGGCAAGATGTCGGAGGACGTCGTCGAAGACGCGCCGTTTTGAAGACGGTCGCGAGCCTGCCGTCGTCAAGTGGGGCGAGCCGAAGGAGGAGAAGGCCAAGGGGAACAGGTGGACGCGGACGGGCAAGAACATCTGCCTCTATGACCGTGAGGACTTGTCTGGCTGCCGGCGGCCGTCGGCGCACGACGGCCACAAGGAGCTCTACGAGGAGGCTGGGAGGTTTATTGCGCAGTGAGAAAAGGATTACAAGGAGCAGTTGGAAATCACGAAGGAGCTGGCTGAGAAGGAGGAGCGCGAGGAGCGCGATGCCATGGAGAAGGCCAAGAAGGCGAAGGGCATGAAGAAGATGGCTTAGACGGTTAGTCCGACTGAGTCAAGTGTGAGTGGCAGTGATCAGACGGATGCTTAGTTTTGCTTGGGCGGAGCCATCATCCCTGAAGTCTCCCACTGGTGTTAGCAGGAAGAGTCGTCGTCCTAGTTTTATCAGTCACAACAGATCATCAAACGAATACTGGTCCAGTGAAGTGGAGATGAAGTGTGGTTTCATTAATATCAACATTCAAACATTTCGTCGTTTACTTCTTAGGGGCGTTTACAGGCGGCTCGACGTCTTGACGGCAGGCGCCTTCTTGACATCGAAGCGGTCGAGGTTCGAGACCTTGGTCCACGCCGCGACAAAGTCGTTGACAAACTTCTTCTCGCCGTCGGCGCTGCCGTACACTTCGGCAAGGGCGCGCAGCTCGGCGTGGGATCCGAAAACGAGATCCGCACGCGTGGCAGTCCACCTCTTGTCGCCAGTCTTGCGGTCGCTACCCTCGAAGAGCTCGTCGTCGCTGCCGGTAGCCTTCCATGCCGTGCTCATGTCGAGCAGGTTGACAAAGAAGTCGTTGGACAGCTGGCCGGGGCGCTTGGTCAGGACGCCATGCTGGGATCCGTCGTAGTTGGTGTTCAGAACGCGGAGGCCACCGACGAGGGCGGTCAGCTCAGGCGCCGACAGCGTCAGAAGGTGAGCACGGTCAACAAGGAACTGCTCAGTCTTGACGCGGTCGGTCGAGTGGCCGTAGTTGCGGAAGCCGTCGGCGAAAGGCTCGAGGTGGCTGACGGACTCAATGTCGGTCTGCTCCTGCGTGGCGTCGCCACGGCCAGGAGTGAAGGGGACGGTGACGCTGTGGCCGGCGGCCGAGGCAGCCTTCTCAACAGCGGCATTACCGGCCAGGACGATCAAGTCGGCGAGAGACACCTTCTTGCCACCCTGCTGAGCGTCGTTGAAGCTCTTCTGCACACCCTCGAGGGCCTGCAGAACCTTGGCCAGCTGGGCGGGGTTGTTGACCTCCCAGTCCTTCTGAGGGGCGAGGCGGATACGAGCGCCGTTGGCACCACCGCGCTTGTCGCTGCCACGGAAGGTAGAAGAAGCTCCCCAGGCAACAGAGATGAACTGCGAGGGCTCAGGTCCGGAGGAGAGGATCTCCTTCTTGAGAGCGGCAACATCGCTCTCGTCGATCAGAGGGTGGTCAACAGCGGGGATGGGGTCCTGCCACAGGAGGTCTTCGGCAGGGATTTCAGGGCCGAGGTAGCGAGCCTTGGGGCCAAGGTCACGGTGAAGGAGCTTGAACCAGGCGCGAGCGAAAGCATCGGCAAACTGGTCTGGGTTCTCGAGGAAACGGCGAGAGATCTTCTCGTACTCGGGATCGAAGCGCAGGGACAGATCGGTGGTGAGCATGGTAGGGCGGTGCTTCTTGGACGAGTCGTAGGCATCGGGAATAATCTCGTCATCCGTCTTGGCCACCCACTGGTTGGCGCCAGCAGGGCTCTTGGTGAGCTCCCACTCGTACTTGAAGAGGTACTCGAAGTACTTGTTACTCCACTTGGTCGGGGTCGCGGTCCAGGTGACCTCGAGACCGCTGGTGATGGTGTCGGGACCCTTGCCAGACTTGTATCCGTTCTGCCAGCCGAAACCCTGAGCCTCAAGAGGGGCACCTTCGGGCTCGGCACCGATCTTGTCGTTGGGGCCGGCGCCGTGGGTCTTGCCGAAGGAGTGGCCACCAGCAATAAGAGCGACGGTCTCCTCGTCGTTCATGGCCATGCGGCCAAAGGTGGTGCGGATGTCGTGGGCAGCAGCAACAGGGTCGGGGTTGCCATCGGGGCCCTCGGGGTTGACGTAGATCAGACCCATGTGGGCAGCACCGAGAGGCTTCTGCAAGTCACGGGTGTGGATGCCCTTATCGTGGCCCTCGTCGGTGACGAGGCTACCGGGGCCCTTGTCGCCCTTGTTGCCACCAGAGTAGCGGACGTCGTTGCCGAGCCAAGTGGTCTCGCCACCCCAGTAGACCGACTCGTCGGCCTCCCAGACGTCGGCACGGCCACCGGCGAAGCCAAAGGTCTTGAAGTCCATCGACTCGAGGGCGACATTGCCGGTCAGGAGCAGCAGATCAGCCCAGGAAATCTTGTTGCCGTACTTCTGCTTGATGGGCCACAACAGACGACGAGCCTTGTCGAGCGAGACGTTGTCGGGCCAGCTGTTGAGGGGAGCAAAACGCTGCTGGCCCTGACCGCCACCACCGCGGCCGTCAAAGACGCGGTAGGTACCGGCGCTGTGCCAGGCCATGCGAACGAAGAGACCTCCGTAGTGACCAAAGTCGGCGGGCCACCAGTCCTGGGAGTCGGTCATGAGGTCCCTGAGATCCTTCTTGACGGCATTGTAGTCGAGGCTGTTGAAGGCAGCAGCATAGTCAAAGTCGCTGCCGAGGGGGTTCGTGACATCTGTGTGCTGACGGAGAATGTTGAGCTTCAGAGCATTGGGCCACCAGTCACGGTTGCGGGTGCCGCCGCCGCCGACATTGTTGAGGCGATGGACGGGGCACTTGCTCTCCGACTCGGCCATGTTGGGTGAGTCGGTGTGGTTGTGTCTGCGGTTGATCAAGTGTGATTGAAGATGTACTCGATGATACCTGGTCGAGGTGGCAGGACGAGGTATGGCGAGGAATCTGGAGGAGGAGGAGGAAAGACACAGGGAAGGAAGGAGAGGAGGGGTACGGAGAAGGGGCATGAAGAAGTTTCGTCAGGGGGGGGCAAAATGGCGGAAGCAGGGTCCTTTATGAGGGCAGCACGTCAGGCAAGGGAGAAGGAGGGAGGAGAGTGAGGGGGGCGGGCAAAGAGAAACGGGGTGGTGCCTTCCAAGTGAACAGAAAGAAGGTAGGTATGCATGCATGCACTTGTTCTCAGACGTGGTAGCTGCGACCCCGCATTGCAAGGTCGGTCGTGGCCATCGGGGCGCGCAGACGCACCCGTTTGGGCAATGTTCAGTGAGGAGCATGAGGAGCATGAGGAGCATGACGAATCCCTTGCTCCCCGTTGGCTGGCGTTCTGGCCGAAAACATAAATTTGTCATTTGTCAGGGAAGGTCCGACATACATCGCGGCTTCCCAGCAGACCCAGGTGTCGGACTAGTTGGCAGAGGAGGGGCAACCTGATGCATGATGCAATGACTGGCTGGGTCCCCCGTCTGGACCTGCCGTGCGGGGGAAAGCTAAGAATAGGCCCCGCTGCGGCGGTGTGAGGGTGGGCTGTCGCCATCAAGGTCCGCCATGGCGTACCGAGGAAGGAAGGCGGGCGGGCATCAAAGTCGGGGGTGGGCACCCGGGGTATAAAGGACCCAGCTCTCGTCCGAGTTGCTTCGAGAAAGGGAACTTGAGTGTTGGGCAAGTTGCTTGTCGTCGATTGGGATTGTCTGGGCAAGTGGGAGCTTGGGGACCTTGAAAACGCACCTCGGCCGACGCATCGATTTCTTGTCTGTGTCGCCTCGCAGTGGCAGGTGTAGTCGCGGTGGGGCTCGCATGGTGAGGGGCAAATTCTGGCCATTCACAGGAGCCCGGTCGTCGAGCCGTCAGCTGCCGAACGCCATCAGAGTTCGTGCTATCCCTGTTGCGACGTCCCAAGAAACGTGGGAAACACCGAGAGAATACCGAGTAGGGGCTGCGGAACGTCCTCGGAACCCCCAAGGCTACGTAGGTACGTACTCTTTCCTCTCCATGTCTGGATATCGATTCAACCACAGCCGGCCATCTCGGACCTTCGCAGTAGTGGTCAGACTGTGGCAAAGCACCACCATCTTACTCGCTGCGAGGTCAGTCGGGTCATCAAAGGGTGCTCGTCGCGGCCAATCGATCGTGGACTGCTCAACCACCCTGTCATGGTCCGAACTCCCCTCTACCCGGCCCGGTCTGTGAGCCTCGAGATATTCATCTGATGGGATTCATTGCCCTGCACTGCGCACTCTGTTTCGATATCAAGATCGGACATGCTTCCTGGCACATCTCTTTTTCCACCATGAGACCCTGTCATTGCATAGACTGTCCCCATCGTTGACAAGAACGCCGGGCCAAATCCTCTTTCTCGGGCACGGTATTCACATCTGGCTCAAGTCTTGTTCGTATTGGCTCAGTGCTTACCGCACATCGAGTCACAAAGACGCAAAGCGACCCTCCAAGGGTGGTATTCTTACACGCCACGTGCGCAGCCGAGGAGCCTAGTGGCCTACGGATTCATAGTCAGCCGATCACAGTTTGACAGAACGTTGAGGTACATGTAGCACGATCTCGACCCACGCGCGATTTACCACGCGTCCCCCTGCAAGCTGGGTTGAGCGTGAAGCGAAACCATCGCGCAGTCACGTGTAAGGGTGTCGACAGCTAGACCAAGGCCAACGGCCATCTTAATTGAGCAAACAAGCCTGACAAGAGTGGGGGCGCCAATGTGAAGTATTCGATCAACAGATACCTATCTCGCTCATATTCCCAGGACACTCTAAAGCCACGGCCGAGCCGAGCGTGTCGGGCACCGTCGTCACCGAACGGCGTTGGCGGTCCAGCAGCGCCGCTGGTTTCTTACGACATGACCTGCCCCAAATGGTTGCAGAACAGTAAAGGCTCGAGAGTTGCCTGCAGTCTCTCGCCGAGGATCCGAAATCATTCGCCACCTAACCTTGACTTTTATGTGATACCGCCGGGGCACTGTGACGTCGCCTACAACGAAACGGTGTTATCAAATCGTGCATTGGCTCTGCCCAAGCCAGGCAGCATCGCTGAGCTTGCCTCGCCATCTGCCAAGTTGGCTTCACCATTAGACACCCACCCACGCTCCGTATGCTTGCGGCGTTTCCCGCATCGGAGGACGACTAGTCAGACATTGGACTACAGGACGTTCGCTGGCGTAACATCGGATCAATATCGGAGGATCTGCCTCTGGCAAAGGCTTCCGCTGAGGTCCTCATAGCCTTTGAGGTGAATGGTCGGACTCTTGGAAAGGAAAGAGGCGGACCTGCAAGGCTTGTGGTACCCGGCTGATTCGCGCGGGCGCCGTAGTTGAGGGCCCCGAAGTGGCTGTCGGCGGCTGAGCTCGATGCCACGAGCCTGTCGCCCAGGGTTTGGTGAAATCGGACGCGGAACCCAAATGGGTTGAGGCAATAACTAAAGAGAGAGACGATTCAGCTGGAAGAAGTGGTCAGTATCAATAAAGCTTGCTAGTGATGGGCCCAAGCTGATGGCCCGCGCTGTCTCTGCCTCTGATCAAGAGCAGCCGCTCATGGCACGGCGCAAACATGTGCACTTGATCTCTATGAGAGTGACGGCCCCAACTGATCTTATGAATGCATGTTATCATCCTACGCCGGAGCAGACTTTGCAAGCGAACATTGACATCCACGCTTGAGATGCTATCAAGAAGACAACGCCAATACTATACGACGATCCTCGAGCAAGCTGGCCACCGCCCCCAGATAAATGACCAGGGGTGGAGCGATAGGACCTCATGTATTGACTGACCGGCACAAGACAGACTGTCGTCCTCTACACCCCAAACTAATAGCGCGTGAAACTCATCCCTGATGAGATGGTTCTGGTACGTCTCGCACGATCGAAT